AACTGGGACCTGCGTAATTGCTTTAGTCTGAATATGTAACATCTAAAGGAGTACATTTAGGCAAAGTAAATCCAGGCCTCTGTCATTCATGCCTAAAAGAATGACCTCATTTAGTTTACCACATATCCCACAACATCTCGTCCACTAAGCCAGATAATCCGTACCCTAGCCATGACTGACTGTAGCTGAATTGGCCCACAAACATTATTTCATCAAGTCAAGAAGGAACTCATCAAGTCCTCAGGTTTTTAGGGGCTGATAATCTTCTGATGGGGGCTTTATGTGTGTTTCATTTTTGTGTATGTAGTACCACATATTCACATGGTTGGTGCTAATACTTCACATCTTTCTTAGAAATTGCAGCAAATTATTACAAGCCCAAAAATCTCTCTCTTCACTTTGCATTCCCTAATACATAGGAGATGACAGGAAACCTTCAATTTTCTGTTCTCATCCTTACAACTCTGCAGTTATGCTCAGTACACCTCAGTTCTGTCCTGAAATGCTAGGTTTTCCCAACCCCTCAGCTTGTCTTAATGCCAATTATGATAGTGTAATTCTACCGCAGAAGTGCCCTGGTGCTGAAATCCTTGTGTTATTTCAGCTATCTGAGCTGAAAGTAATACTTTGAGCCTATGAGCCAGATTGGATGTAGTCATATACAGATAAGAGTGGGTTTTTTCCTACTGTCAAATGTGAGTCCTCCGAGATTCCAGCTTTTTTTGTAGTCACTTTACTCCATTGAACACAGAATATCTTAAATCTTAACTACCAGTTTAAAGCACAAGTATCAAAGGAAGCCAGTGATAATATGAAGTGTCACTGAATGAGAAATTAATCTGTGTCTACAGACATGTATGCTGCATGCCCAAGGTATTGTGATAAAACACATTTGGGGACTGTTTCTTCTGCAAGGAAAGATATGTTTTTATATACCAAACATTTTTATTATATGTGAAGGGTTTTGATAAGACGACTGCACTATGTGTCCTGAAAGCTTGGTTTATTGACATTTATAGCAGTACTTGCTGCGTGAGGAACAAATTGTCAAGCTATTTTTCAAGTCGTCTTCAGATCCTGGAGACATACTAAAAAAGATAAGGGAGACTCATGAAACCACAGAGGAAAGAAATGCAATGAGCATGCTTCAGTCCTTCCCTGTAGCGTGAGCCAAAGTCCCTGCTGGACCGTGCCCACATCTCGGTACGATCAGTTCTCTTCTGCTATTGCAAATCTGCCCTTGGGTTCTTTCTCAGAGCAAGCAGAATTACACTGGAATGAAGATTATGCAAAACGCAATGGCTGAAGCCAACTTTTTTAACATCAAAAATCCAAATTTCTCACCACCTTTTCAGGTATCCTTGTCAGCACTTTGCAGGCCTGTATTTTGGTGATAGTCACACTGTGAAACCTGGGTAGTTTATGTGCAGCTCTCACTTCTAGCTATAAAGCTGGAAAGAGGTGGCCCATGCTTAATGATAGAACAGGATTAGAGAGACACAAACCTATTGAATCTTGTATTCCTGTATCTCAGTATCAAGTGAAGTGATTACTGTCACTCTGTGGCATGCAGTTAACAAGAAAATCTGTTAATTGCATATTTTTATGTCTGTTAATAAATTGCAGCAGCCTAGACAAACTATGATATGTATAATAAATACTACAATTTAATATAATTACAGCAAATTAAAATATAGGAAGTGCACGATGTTGTGAGAGTTTCTTTTTAAACTCCCCACAGATTTTCCTCTTCTTCCTTCTCAGTAATGTGTCTACCAATAAAACAGTTCAGACATCATTTTTTGGGAAATAGGTGGACTTGCCTGTGTTCAACTGACTCTTGTGTTTCTACTATGATATTTCAACCAATGACTTTTTTTTCACACACAGAGGGACACAGGGTCAAGGAAAATCTCTTTCTTTGAATAATTCAAAGTAGTTCAAAGCAATCACTATGTAGTGTCAATAGTGTTATCCATGTGGGAGTGTAATCATGTTGACGGTTCTTTTGTACAAAGATTACATACGTATAGATATTTTGTTAGGATATATGCAATTAAAATCAAAACTAAGTTATACCTGGAAGGAAGATGCCTTAATGTTTTATTTTTAGATATGTCAGAAATATTTTCTATTCATTTTGGCTGGGTAATTAAGTGTTTATAGTGAAGTAAAAGGAAAGAGAGAAGGAAGGAAACCTGTTCAAATGCCATAGACAATGGAGTCTGTAAGGAATCTCCCAGACTTTGTATTACAAAAGCAAAACAAAACAAAAAACCAACCACAAGATCACAAACAAACCAAATCAAACCAAACTAAACCAAACCAAACCGAAATATACAATATGTATGCAAACAGTACGACCTCTGCCATTGTAGAGCAGTGAACAACATCTGATTTCTACCACCTGGAAAGCAAATCAGGCCATCTGCTTTGTATCAGCATGGAGGATATTGCATTCTGGAGTCAAAGGATCGTCCAGACAAATGTGTGAAGAGGAGTTAATTGGAGAAACAGTGTAAGAAAGAAGATCAAGGGCTTATCTTAGAAGAGGAACATTATCCATGTAGTCTTAACCTACTCTTAAAACTGAAAAGAACGTGTATTAGCCTTACCCTTTGGTGGGCCAGTCCTGCTACTTTCACTGTATCTGCATGTGCAGATGTGTTGAGAAGGGCCTGCTTTCTGCAGAAGTCAGTGCGGAAAGGAGACATTGCTTTAATCCTGCTTGCACTATTAACAAGGACCTTCAGTGAGACATAAGGTGCGTTGGCCTTGGTCTGGCTCTCTTCCCAGGGGCAAATCCCTTTCTGAGCAAGTGACATTAGATTGTCAACAAGATACCACATTAATCAGAAGTCTGTGGCGTATTTTCCTATTTCTGTCGCACACCAACAAATTCAGACTTTGGAGTCCGTTTGATACAAGATCAGCTTCAATCATTCAGATTAACATTTACCTGTAATTTTTCTTCATGTATTTCCCTAAAGGATTAGTGGTGTGGATTTTCTGTCAGAAGAGCAGATGTCTGTTTGGCACAGGTGCAATTGTGACACTCTGGGAAGTGCTGGTGGCCTGCATTTACAGTAAACATAGAAAAGAGGTCTGGCAGCAGGGTATAGTGCATTTGCATGACAGAACTGAAACGTAACCCTGCCTTTTGAACATGGCTAGACTGCTGGCAAGGTCATGGAGAGCTATGAAATGATCTGGCAGCTGAGACCCCCCAAGAGGCATGCTTCAGGAATACTGCCAGACAGCAGCGTTTTAAATCAAATAATGACACAGATTGAATGCCCTTTTCCTACTTCAGGTATTTGCTTAGAGGTCAACATCCTCTTTGTTTTAGGAAAACTTAAAGTCCTGGCCTACCTTAGCACTACAGTGAAGGAGTTATTTTCTTTTAATCATTCATTTCTGAAAACGTTTCTTCTGGACAACAGAGTTTATAGTGTAAATGATATTGAAAAGTCCATCCTGATCAACCGTTTCTGAAGACTTTTTAAAAGGCAGAAAGACTCTCAATTATTTGATTATGAAATGAATTGTACATACCATGGGGCATTCTCTGGTAATTTTTACCTCACACCTATACGTTCCATCTTGAGCTATGGCACATATTTTGGAAAGATACTTGGTTGTGACTGGAAAAGATCTCAACCCCTCTGAAAACCACTGGCTATCTCTTAGGTGATGCTACAAAGCCTTCAGCTTCAAACACCAGTTCTTGCTAGTCCACGTTAGTGATGGAGATGAAAGTAAATGGATGGTTGTCCTGGCTTCTGAGCCATTTTGGTGCTGATTCTGCCCCAACATAAACCAGAGTCCAGGATTCTTCTCACTCATGTCTGTCTGGAACAGTCTGCCTATACGTTCATCATGCTTTGAAGTTTACCATTGTTTTTTGAAGCTGCAGAATAGGCCAGCAAAGACACAATGGCTGACTTGAAAATGTATGCTAACATCATTGCTGCTGGTTTCTAACTCAGCAGCAACACAGATGTGTTTATCAGAGTGCAGGATGTTGTTTCAGTTACTCGTACTACTGAGGTAGTTTGGCATGAGAGACTGAACAGGGTGGAAACTTTCATTTTGAGCAAAAGAACAGTTTTAATAGAGCCTACATACCTGTATCTTTTCATGTCTGCCCCTTCCCACAGCTCTACCACACCAAATGTTCAACTTCCCAGACTGACGGTAGCCAAAAAAAGGAAATTGTGTTAAGATGTTAAAACTGTTAAGATGTGTTTTCAACAAAAAAATTTAACTATGGAGCTCTTGAACAAAAATGTGGGAAAAGTCAAAGATCCTCAAATTGCTGCAGAAGATGATCCTAACACAGCAGGATATCTCAGAGGAAAGGCACAGACAAGGACATTATGACCTTATACTGTCAAAAGTCCTTGTCTTTTGTCCACCTCTTTTCATTGGCAAGCTGCAGGCAAACTGGAGGACACAGCATAGATCTGGCAGAGTCAAGAGAGATTTTCGGCTCCCCCACTAAAGCAGTGTGTAGGGTCCATCAGATGAGTTAAATCTATGTAAACATCTACTAATAGCTGCTCATGGGGCTGTCAAGGCATCACCTTTTTTTTTGTTTATCTGAGGCAGGTGCTCACAGTGATGACCAAGACATTCCTACAATGAGCAGAAACTCTCAAATTTTTTGAAAATGCTCATGTTCAATTTGTGAAACTCACACGTTGGAGAAGCCTCTCTTAGGGCAAAGAAAGCAGTTTTCCTCGTACACTTGCACGTGTTGCATTCTTGATCTGACATGACTTGCAACCACAAGAGAGCACTCTTCCCTTTGAAGATTTCTCGGCTTCCCCAGAAAGCTAGAGACTTACCATATAAGTTTTGCAAACTGCTTGTGAGCTGTTTCAGTTAGACCAGAGCAGCCGAAACAACAAAGCTTGCAGTTGTCTTTTGGATTTCATTGTGAAAAGCCTTTGGGTAGTTTTCAGATGACAGAAGATCCTTGGTTCCTGAAAGGGAGGAGTTCTGCCAAAACTTTGAAGATCCCTGTAAACTTTGCAAATTACCCATCTTTTGGAGGCAATTATATCAAACGATATCGTGGATTACAATACATGAGAAGTGTTTAGAGCCTGGAAGATTATTTATGTTTGGCATTAACTCTTATGGTCATAATTTCAAGTGGAGAGAAAAGGAATACACAGGAACCCTCTTATTATCTTTTGAAATATGAAGATCAGAGGAAAAGAAGGGTTTAAAGTGTGGAGTGATGGTCCTCAAAACCTGTCTGTACATTAGCTGGCATCCTACATCCTACAGGGCTTAGAGCTGATTTCCAGGCACAGAGTGGACCTCATGAGTTGTTAGCTGTGCTTTGAGATCTGAGTTCTTATACAACACAGGAAGAAACTGCAGCCTGCGGGGCACAGTACCTATACAAATGTTGGATTAATACACTGGAAGCCAAATTCAGGAACTGACATTCCACTGGTGAGAAAAAAAAGAAGCATGGACAACAGTAAAGATGATGATAGACTATTGAACAGGATTGCATTTCCAGGAGCTATGTCTCTGGCTAACAGCCATGTGCATTCCCATGGGATACCCCTGAGAGAGCCCTTTGGGGTTCCTTTCCATCTGGACCCATCTTACTGGGAGCAAGCCTATGGTGGGCACACAGGTTGTATCTCCTACATCCCATTCCCTGGCTACATGGGCATCTATGACTATTCCTTTGAGCCTGCCTTCATTCGAAAGAGGAACGAGAGGGAAAGGCAGCGGGTGCGCTGTGTGAACGAGGGATACACACGCCTGAGAGAGCACCTGCCCAAGGAATTCACTGACAAGCGCCTCAGCAAAGTGGAGACCCTGAGAGCTGCAATAAGCTACATCAAACACCTGCAGAGCTTGCTGGACTGCCATTCCTTAGGCTCTAACAGCAAGGAAACACTCTCTGCCAAGGAGCTCCCAGAAGTTCCCAGTCTTGGTCTCCCACAGGAGTGCAACAGTGATGGAGAGTCTAAAACTTCTTCAGCTTCATCCCCCTACAGTGAATTTGAGGAGACGGGCAGCTAGGTCTCTTCTCTGGAGACAGAAAGCTTCAAGTTCAGCTGAAAAAAAATTTAAAACCCTGGGGATTTTTCTACAGATGAAAAGTAATCCCAGGGAAAGAAAAAGCAACTAGGGAAAGGAAAAAAAAAGGTATTTTCAGTCTGTCAAAGGACTTTAACTGTTTACCATACAAAACTTAAAGATGACTTGTAAGCAAAAAGATATCTCTCAGGTTGCTTCAGCTGTGTTACTAAGCTTCTCTTGGACTGTTAAACTGGAGCAACGCTGGCATTCTACTTTTCTTCAGCTTTTATTCTGTTCTACTTTCTTTTACCTTTCACTTGAGACAGTAAAACCAGATAAATTCATTTCAGGAAATTCCTCTCCCCTTCCTCCTGCTCTGCCCAGTAAGTTTTATCGTCTGTTTTTCCTGACTGCTAACCTGTGATACACTGCATTGCAAACACTTGGGTGGGGAAAGGTAAGATTTAGATAAAATGTCTTTCCCTAAATATTTTAGGAAACTCACAGAAATACTTCTATTTCTGAAACAACAGCTTAAAAAATAAAAATAAGGCTAAATTTGGGAATTAATTTCTCTTACAGCATCTTCTAAAGTGAAAGAAGTAGCTCATACATTGGACACTGGCTATTTGGGGATTATTCTAAGGATAATTTTCAGGAAAAGAAATTGGACACTTTCATTCTAATAAATGCTAGGAAGAGGGAAACAGAGTTCTGTAAAACTGCACCTTCAAAAGCAAAGCTTCACTCATGATACTGAAAAAATGCCTTTTTTCTACTCTTCTGAAATCTGAGTTCACGGACAAAATAGTCTTGATTGTGTCTTTTTGGCAGGTCAGAAATTATATGCTTAGCAATATAACCTGTTGTGGTTAGACAATGGTGTGTACAAAAAGGGAAACATTGAATATATCAGTTTACATCTGTATGAAAATGTAGATATTTCTCCTTTTATTTAGAATATGGTATTACTTTTTTTAAGAATACACCTTTTAAAATTAATGTGTCAAAATCTCTGGAATGCCTTTAATTTGGACTGTGTCTACTTAAAATAAGAATTTGTCTCCAAATTGCTCTAAAATCTTCCTTTCTCTGAAGCCAGATTTCAATAACATTTAGCTATGTCCTATTCTGAATATGGAGTAAACTTCTTACCCGTGCACTTCCCACAGATCTTTCCAACTTTTGCTTTTTTGGCCTCATGTTGATGAAATGGTTTTGTATTTTTTTGTCTTTCCTTCATGTCATGCTGACTGAACACCTGGAAAAATACTCGTGTATAAATAAGAACAAATACTGATCAAATACCTCAAAATGTGTCCATGAATTTCATTTAAATAAAAATTTAATTAATCCTGGCTGTGTCTTTTTCACTTTCAATTGATAATAAACGGGACAGTGCTGGCTGCAAGAGTAATGAATTCTCAGGATAGAATAGAGAAAATGGAAAGGAAGTAAATATGAACTGCTACTTTTGTACCTAAATTTTTAATCTAGATTTTTAAATCTAGATAAAGAGCAGGTTTATGTTGTGGGCATCTAATAAGAATTATTTGGTATAAAAATACTCTGCTGCTTTCTAGAAGACTACTCTCAACATTTGTACGCTTTTAGCTGCTGTATCCGTGGCAGTCATGGGTGTTGTTCTTTATTCTTTACATGGTAGCCAGCTCCCTTTTCTAATGACTATTTTGTTTTTCTAAGGGCTGTTACTTTTGCAGAGATTGCTTCCAAGACTCAAAAATGTAGAGTTCTAATTACCTGGGCAGTTCAGATCCAGAGCCAATGCACTCATTTCTGAGTGAGCAAGTATTTATATTTCTTACCCAAGAAAGGAGAGAATGACAAGGTAGAGGTCTGAATGTCTGATTGGATTCCATTGTTTTTTGTCTTTTTTTATTTTCTTAGTGATTTCTGGCAAGAGATTTAACCTTTCTCTCTCTCTTACTCAGTTTTGAGATTTCTGGAAATGTGGTATTGCTGCTGGTAATTCTGTCCACAAACCTGAATTGAATTGCTCCCTCAAAGCAGAGATTAAATCTTTGTTATCTATGAAAAACATACACTTCCTCAGAGTACCAGAGGCAAATTCTGTGAAACACAGTTGTTTTGAAAGCACTCTGAAGATGAAAAGCAGTTAATATACATATAATGAAAATAAACAGCCAAATCAAACCAAACCACTAAAAATAAAAATTGTCAGAATGACTGTTACTTCATGGGCAGGATACATCAGATAATGTCACAAATAAATTTTTAGGTCAGATTGTTATCACAGAGGTTTGACCCCTACAGAGCCTCAATCCTCTGATTCCCAAATCTTGGAGAGATGGCGCAGTGTGCCACCTTTTCTGTGATCAGCTGGCTGGGGAAGTGAACTAGGCCCTGACTCTGCCCCCTTACAGCTTTATCTCTCATGTGGAATGTTCCTCCATGGGAGTCTAAGGGAGTGGAAAGCATCCAACCCTTGGCTCTATGCTTGGCCATCTCTGCATTAGGGTGTCTCTTCCCGTGTGAGGCATAGGCTGATCTGCTGCATAGCTACATGGGACTGGTTTATTTATTGCATATCCTTAATATTCTGCAGTCAGAATCAAACCTGGATTTTGCAAAATAATATTCTGGAAAAGGCCTCTGGACCTCAAGTCAAGGAGACTGGTTAAAAGTCTACTTTTCAACTTATTTTAGCTTCTTTTTTTTTTAGATTATACATCTTTAACAGCTCTGGAGATGTCCTTAAAATACCTCCCAATACAACCTCAACACCGGAGACGGAAAACCACGTCACATGTATTTTAATTTAATTTTATAGAAAAATTAATTTCTGGATGAAAAAGAAATTCTTTCTGTGGGAAAAATCTGTCACAGATTGAGCCACTCTCCTGAGGAAAGTTGTAAATTTTTATTTCTCACAGTTCGTGTTGTCATGCAAACCTCTTGCACAATTTCAGCACAAGGAAGTAGAAAACAAGATTTCCCAAATATGGATTGATGCTTCCTTACAGGCATCAACAAAGGTTTAAAGTGAATGCTGTATTTCAAAAGCTTTATTAAGCTGTTTCTGTCTAGACAAAGATTTTGTTCAAAGCTTCCAAAGTGTATCATTATCAGACTTTTAAAGCAGACAATAATTCAACTTGTCATCATGAAAATTAAAGTTTTAATAAAAATGTTGACCAGAAGAAATCTCTCCATGTGGAACAATTACTATTTACAAGAAAGGTGATCACTGATATCTGCAGGCAGCCATGCTACAGCTTTATCCAACTCTTGCACATCAAATTCAGACACTTTAATCTTTCTATCAAATGTGAAAAAAACAGACATCTGAAGTCTTCTCTCTTCTGCCGTTAAATTACAAATCCATTTGCTTCTTGATATTATCAGCATTTTAAAGATGTGTAATCCTGGCCATGGGATTGCTTTTAATCCTCTAATAGCTATTTAGCTGACTTTTTTGTAAAAGCCCATCCACAGTCCTTTCATGTTATATTACCCAGTGTCAGTAATGTGGCCAAAGAAAACCAGAAGGCACCATAGAAAATTCATGTTCAGACTGTAAAGCAATCAGGGCCAATTTACATCACTGCAATAAATAAACAGGGAATGTCCACAGAAAAATAGTGTCTTTGAAAACATTTGTCTCCAGCATACTTAGGCAGGAGGCAAAGCAAGATCCAAAACATTTTGAAGAGAGATCCTCAAGTGGTACCAACAGGAGAGCCCTGCTGAAGTTAGCTGAGGTAATTGCTATAGCTAAGCAAGGTCTTAGTAAGGCTTTCCAAAATAGAGTCTAAGCAAATATAACTTCAGTGGGTGCTTCTCACTAGTAACCCTCAGCATACAGATAAATGGCTGCAGAGAAAGTAATAAATTTGGTCTAGACAAATGGTAAGACTGCAGCTGCACCTAGATTTCCATGAAGCTGTTCTGCTACAGATCTGGAAGCTCTGTAAACACAGGATGAGCACCTTTCTCCATTAACCTGAAGGTGTGCTTGTAAGTAAAAATCCACTATAAATGCTCACTTGTGTAATTCCCACATGATTCTTACACATTTTTTTTCTGCCTTACTGTGAATATATCCACTAACAGAGCAGTGGAAAAGTTCTTCAAGTTGCCTTTGCTGAGAGAAAAAAATTAGAGGAGTGACGGCCCCCTTGAAAATTTTGGAGACCCCTTGGCTCACTTCAGATATTACTGGAGATATAGTCTCAAAGGCATGAAATTACTACATGGTCCATGAACACTGGTGGCACTAGTGTAGAAAAATATGCCAATTTAAAGTCCCTACAAAGGGGAAAGCTAACACTGACTTGTCTTTTCAATTTGACCCGTGTGGTGGTCAGCCAGCCCATGGGCACCAGCCAGCCATCAGTAGGCACGTGTGCTTTGCACTGCTTCTTGCCTGTTCTACTGGGGCCACGGGATTAAAAAATGAGTATTTTGAGGGATTCTTTTATTTGAGAGGAGGAAGCTGAATGATTGGTCTGTGGGAGGCTGAAAGGTTGAAAATGTGGACAGTGAAGCCTGGGAGCATGTATAGCACAAAGCCAAGCCAAGCTGCTGTGATGTTCACAATACACCTTCCTTGTCCTCATGATTTTATTTTGATATGGTGTGGTTCTGGGCATGTATAACAGATTTTTGTGTTCCATGGCTATAAGCCATCAGCACTGAATCCTAACCAATCTCTTCTATCTGCACTGAGATCACAAAGAGAACAAGTAGTTACAAATAAATGGAATTTTCACATTTTTTCATGTATTCACTTTACTGTTAGCATTATGCTATGCTAGGCTGCTCTGTTGATGTACCTTTTTAAATGTAAAAAGCACTGAAGAAGTCCCAGGCTCAGCTGCTGAGGGTTTATCCCAAGGGATCCCTCATGTGGAGGTGATGTGCCCCCACATCCAGAGGCAATTAAGCTCTCTGGTGCTTAATGAATGAAACTGATAATAAACTGTGTAATGTATAGATGAAATAAGCCAGATGTACAA